AATCCTCTTTTTCCTTCCCCTACCAAGACAAGACACTTTTTTTTTTTAGCACTGAGTTCCCTAACAAGACACTTGTAAGTCAAAATCAATTTCCCAGAGAAAATTTTACATTTTCTGAAGGCAAGAAATAGAAAAACGGAACAACAAGGACAGACAATACAAATCCAAAACTGAGGACCAAAGTAACTGCTGAAACTCGAAATGATTAGATTCAAACACTCAACGACAAATCCTTTTATCATGAAAACTGTTAAAACCGATCAAAGTCCAAACCTTTTGATCAAATTCAGGTGAAACACATGACACATCATGCTATGTACCACTGAAGAATGCACAACTAATCAGTAGACTGACAAACACAAAGGACCACAAAAACTGAATTCCTAAATCATAATAATAATAATAAAAATCCTCCTCTCAAAATTTATAAATAAAAAAAAAAGAACTGCCAAAGATAACAGAAATTAATCAAGATACAGTAGTAAAAACATACAAAAGGACAAAAACCCATAAAAGAACCGGAAAAGGCCATATGTCAAAGGTCGCAAGCCGTACAATGTAATCCATGATCGTTACATATCGAAATCCAACAATCACACGAACGAGAAATAAAATAAAACAAATAAATGAACGGAGGAATTACAAATCAATCCTCTCTTAATCAATAATAAATTTTCAGAAATCTGGGTAGGAAGAGAAGAGACCGTTAAACAAAACCTAGAAACCGAAAAAATTGCCGATCGGAAAAAAGGAAAAACCTTGGTGTCAAGCATGACGGCGCAGAGAATTCCGGTGTTGTCCATGGCCTGCCCGAGATTATCTAGGGTTTCCTGGTGGTAATCGTGAGATCCATGAGAGAAGTTGAAGCGAGCGACGTTCATGCCGGCCTTCAGAAGCTTCTCGATCATGGGCACAGACCTCGAGGCGGGTCCCAGAGTGCAAACAATCTTCGTCTTGGGCTTCTTGCCCGTCGCCGTCACTCCTTGCTCGTACACTTGATCCATTCTTCCCTCTTCTCTCCTCTCAAATGCAAAGTTTTCTGTTACTGGTTGGTCTCGTTTCTTCTTAGAGAGAGTTAGAGAGAGAGAGAGAGAGAGAGAGAGGATGGTCGAGAATACGAAGGGCAGGTGGAGAATGGAGAAGAGAGGCAGAGTCAGAAGAGGCGACGCTAACTACTGCATTACGCATATTCTTCTTTATATATGACTTTTTGGAGTTGGAATTTTTTTTCCCCTGTTTTTCTTTTAATTGTTTTTAGTTTATTTTAGGGAAACGTTATTCTTCTTTTGTAATTTCTTTAATAAGTTCAGAAAAAATAAATTATAAAGAATTTGTTACTTTTAATTGTAAGATTTGTATTTATTTTATATATATATTTTTTAATTTAATGTGATTTTGTTTAAATTTAATGATTAAAAACTAGTTAGTCTTTTTTGGCAATGCTACTCACGCTCAATAAACTTTCGATATTATTATTTTTTTAATTGACAAAAATATTGTTCGGTTTTATTTCTTTAGTCAGAGGAAGTAATGAAAATAAAGATCGAGTTTTTTTTTTTTTTTTTTTTTTTTTTTTGATACCCTTTGATTTATGATGAATAAAAAAGAGAATATGAGAGGAGCGGAGAAAGTGGGATTTATTCTTGGTTTCTCGATAAGTTTTTAAGCATTTATGTGAGTAGTTTTTTTAGTATACATAAAAGTTCCGTTCACTTCGCTGATTCAAATTTATAATTCGAGTTGAGATATAATTTTGTGTGAAAGTTTTTTACTGTAGTAAAAAAATTAGATATGACTATTTCTGAGAACTTTTTACTGTAACAAAACTCGAATTTTAAACTCGAATTGGCGAAATGAACAGAACCAAAGTATCTAAAAATAGATAAAATTCATAATGAAAAGAAATCTAATCATTAATGTCTTTTTCTATCCAGGAGGAGATGAGTAAGAATATATTACGTGATATTAAAAAATAATATAAAAAAATTATTTAACTGCCTAAAAAAGTAATAAAATATGATTAAAATTAAATGCATTGTAATTGAGATTATTTAGACGGGGGATTCGTACTCTGATTCGAATCATAATTCGTGATTTATTATAGTGTTTTTTTTTAATAAAAAATACACGTAAATTAAAAATAATTTTAATCTCATAGTTTTAATTTATAAACTAAACGTATTTATGAATTAAACGGATTCTTAGACCTCGTTCACTTCACGGATTTAAATTTTCAATTTAAATTGATATGTGACATTTTTTTAGAGTTTTTTACTGTAACAGAAAAAGATAAATGTGACATTTTTTAAAATTTTTTTATTGTAAAAATTCTTAATTAAATAATTATCTAATTTTTAGTTGCACAATATGAAAGCAGTTCACTTTTTTCCTTCTTTTTTTTTTCTTTTGAAAATAAAAAGTTGTTCACTTCTTTTGATGTCCTATGTATCATGTGATCATCATAGGTTACAGAGCTCATGATGCACTTTGCCCTCTGCCTACCAACTACAGTATCGGTGGACAAGGGGACAGCTCAGCCTTTTGCTTTACATTATTTAAAATATATTTTTTTTGGTAGAAGACATTATTTAAAATTATTTGATCAATCATGCCACGTGGAAGTATTCACTTCTGGAGGTGGTGAGAATTCGTGTTGGTGACCGTACAAGTGTTGGGTTAAGGGTTAGCATTTGCATAAATTATCCCAATTTTAAGACGGTGAGTGACATAAACATGTTGAGAAATCTCAACATAACATGACTTATCTTAATACAGATTAACAATATAATACTTTTGTGATATACCAGTTATAATCAACTTACAACGCACTTAGCCCAAAATCAACTATATAAAACCAACATAAACACGTATGTACTCAAAATCAATTCCGTTTTATATTGCAACAACTAATTAAGTCATAAAAATTTGAAAAATCTAACTAAAAATAGGGAAAATATTTTTTAAAAATAATTGAGTAATTGAGCGGACTTAATGGCACTCAAATTAACACACGAACATGATCCGTTTTTTTAATCAATTTAAGTTGACATTAAAATGACCCATTACTTATTTTTTTCAACATTAACCCACAAAAATTTATTTTCGTTTTACGTTTTTATGAGCGGACGTATGTACTTTTTTCGTTTTAAAAATATTTATCATTTTATTTTTATTATCATTTTTTATTTTTTAAAATACGTAAAAATCTTTTTAAAAATGATTCTAAATATGCACAATAATTCTTTCTTTTTATAAGATGGGAGTGTAATGAGTATATTTTCAAAATATTATTGTCCGCAAAAATAATTTTATTAATAGAAAATTTAGTGATAAAACATATTATTAAAATCGGATATATAAAAAGTAGAATAGGGAGTATTAATAGAAGCACTTTTTGTTATTACTACTAAATTTCTAAGAGCTTTTAACTAACTGGGAAAGAGCATAGCTAACCATGCGTGGATTATGATGGCTGATTGGTTGGTACTTAAACTCTCCATAACGATTAGCTTAAACTCTTCCATGATTTTTACTCCTTAGTTGTTAATCAAGTTTTTGTTCCTTTGCTTTGATGAATCTTTGACTAAAATGAAAAAACCACTTTTTCGAATTAAAAAAAAAAAAAAAAGGGAAGAGATAGCACGTGCCTTGCACATGCCAATCTCACCTAAATCTAATAAATCCTTTATTGGAATTATTTCTTGAGTTTGTTGATATATAATAACCTTTAAATTGACGGCCCCAACTCAAGTGAGCAACCTATAGGAAAGCTGTTTTGTCGGAGCAATTTCAAGATAAGTTTTTATTTTTTATATTTCATTTTTCTTTTAAAATATCAGTTTATTTCTATGCTCGTTCAAATTTATTTTTATCTTTAAATTTTGTGATGGTTACATCATCTTCAAAGATACTGATATCTATTGAGCTAAATCTCCATTTTATAGATATGATGCATTAACAATCATTCAAACTGTGAAGAATTTTTCTAACTTCTGTAAAGAGTTTAGAGTGTTATTGTTAGATGTATTTAGCTTCTTATCTATTCTCTAGGAGCTTAGTAATGCCATTTTTTAGTTATCTATTTTTTTTTTTTTAATAGAGATGAGCTATTTGATCGGAGGAATTTCCTTTTTTAGAAGATTTTTGTCTGGCCCGCAAGTCGTTGTCCTTTGCGTATTGTGTTTGGCCTTGATGTCTTTGATCTCTTCTCATTTAATAGAGTTATCCATTAATTATAATAGTGTGTTTGAGAAAGTTATATGTTTACTTAAATTTTTATGTGCTTCTTTAGTTTACATTTATCCAAACTCAATACACGTGTTATTTTTTTTTTTGAGCATTTTAATCGTATTTAGTAGAGTTGAGTCCCTAATAGTGTTAGAATCTTTTGCGTTTAAATTAATGTTTGTATTTTTTATAATTGGAATGCAATCTTTATTTAAAAAAGAATTATTGACAAGAATAATCTCCAATCTCTTTAATAAATAACATTTTAGTTCTTAATATTTTTTTTAAACAAAATGATAGTGTAATTTAATTATTTTTGTCAATATCTGTTTAAAAATTGACAGGAAAAAGTACGTGATACCTCATGTGAATTCTTTTTACGATGAAAAGATTTGAACTTCTTCACTTTGTTAATTTGAGTTTATAATTTGAATTGAGATGTGATTTTATATGAAAATTTTTTATTGTAATAAAAAAATTAAATGTGACTGTTTTTAAAAATTTTTTATTATAATAAAACTTAAATTCTAAACTAGTGAAATTAACCGCCAAAATTACCCTCAAATTGGTTTAACCCATGAATTACTCGCCCTGTGTGGCACACCGGCATCACCTCAAACCAGCGCACTGACAAAGTTCATCATGGCGACGCTGATCAAAACTCGACTGGGCATCACGGTTTTGCCCATGTTCCTCGAAATTCGACGGCCTCGTCCTCGCCATCTCCTCCCTCCAATTCATCATTCTCACCACCGGCTCCGACGACAACCAACACGATGGAGAACAACACGAAGTCATCTCCCAAAGAGAAACAGTGTTTCCTCTACGGGAAAAGAAAAAAATCGAAACAACTTCAATTTTCAAACTTACATACATAATTGCTCACATAGGACCCATTTCAATTACAACACTGAAAATGAAAATTCTGAAAAAACCCACCAAAGATTGTCCTTTTTTCTTTCTCTTGCTTTTCATACACCTCCTAAAAACGAAACAGACCAAGGGGGTTTTGGGAGAAGAAGTAAAACCCGCCTTTTTACTGCTAACGACCAGACCAAACCGGTGCTTTCTCGTCGCAGGCTTAGGTCGCAACAATTCTCAGCCTCGTTCAGACCTGGTCTTCGCAGGTCATGGATCTGGTTCGCGGAGGAGAGAGAGTCATGGGAAGAGAGAGGTCCGAGGGGTTGCGGAGGGGAGAGAGAGTGGTCGGGGGTCGCGAAGGATAGAGAGTCGCGGAGGAGAGAGAGTTTCACGGGAGGGAAGAAGAGAGAGAGGGATGTCGCCGCAGGTTCTCCCCGCGCCGCCCCAGCTGTCGACGGAGGGGAAGAAGATGCGAAATCCAGTGAACAAAGCTCGGCAAGAGGAAGTTGTGTGCTTCTAACATTTGTGCGGTTCTTTTTAGATTTTTTATTTTGATTTTTGTTGAAAAAGAAATTATTCAGTTTACTAAAATACTTTTTATTATGAGATACAGCACATGACTTACATTGTCAAAAATTTAACAAAAAAAGATCAGATTATATTTATTTAAAGAGATTGAGAGTCATTTTATAAAAAAAAATAAAATTTAAAAACTAAACTATTACTTACTAAAAAAGTTAAGAATCATCCGTATTAATAACCTTTTATAAAAAATGTTACTGTATCAAACGCCTTCGTATATGACAACAACAACTTCTATTCTTAAAAAAAAAAAAAATATAAAAAATGTTACTGTATCAAACGCCTTCGTATATGACAACAACAACTTATATTCTTAAAAAAAAATAAATAAATAAATAAAAGTGTAAGGCATTCACTATTTTTCATTACTTAAACTTTCAGTAATTTTAGAAAATTACATATTAGGCCCCTTAAAAGAATTTAAATCAGCCCTACATTTAGCACAATTCCCTCTGATTTTAAATTTTGTGAGAAAATCTAT